GAGAAGAGAATGCATGCAGCACAAGATATGAAAGTTCTTATAACAAAAGTCTACAATATATCATCAAAATGGCATGGAGTCTTAGAAAATCTGACATTACATCTGATACATGAGAGAAAAGCTGCACCTGTTGCTTTTTTTAGTTAATAATTAGCATACTATATTTGAAGTTGATGCTTCCATGTCTACCTAAGGACCTCAACAGTTTAGGCATGAAAAAAAGGAGAGCTTTTTATGTAAAAAGTGTTCAAACCCCACTTCTTAGTATAAACACTTCTTTTTTATAGAACATTTTTTTCCGCCATGAAAAAGACAGTACCTATAAAAAGGAAGAGGCTTAATAGCCGTTGCTGAAGCATCTGACAGAAAAGTTTGGACTGCACAAAGGTCAATCAGGCATGAAATGCTGAGTAAAAATTTGACCTCATGGGATACACACATTCTAAAATCTTACATCTTTAGCAATAAGTCCTTCAAGATTAAAATCCATCCGTGAATTTTCAGTTGCAAGTTACATAGACAGAAACTGCCAAAAGAAAAATAATATTGGGTCAACTTCAATAGGTTCACAGGTAAGGTAATGGAAACACCGCTCGTATATAAAGGATACTGATATATTTAAGACATTTGTTAGAGTTTATCTTATTTACATTCATAATCTTCCATCTTATCTAATCTACTCCTTGCAACTCAGAAACATGTTCCATAAATCTGCTCCTTGCAACACTCATGGTTTTATGTGAATAACTTTTAGATCCACTATTTTAAAATTAAATTGTGCCTCATACTTCTGGATGTGAAACACAATATGTAATTATTTGATTGATTGAAGGAGGAAGAAAACAATTGAAAAAAAAATTCAATAAATAACATAAATAACATAAGTATATGGATGATAAAGATTTGCTCAATATTTAACGGACTATGCTCCATCTCTATTAAAGATGTTCATTGGCATGAGCATTAATCTCTAATCCAATAATTATAAGGGCACTCACCAGGTGATGCCAAGAGTAGAGCTGTCGTGCTGATAACGTATTATGAAAATAGAGATTGAGGATGAGAGAAGAGAGAAAACTATACTTAAAAAAAAAAAAAGAGAATAGAAAGCTTTCTTATTTTAAGTGTGTAGAATACAATTGAGGTGTCATCTATTTATAGGCACAAATATATCAATTAAAGTGACAAGATAATAATAACTGAAAAATATTACAGTAACTGAAAGATATTGAAGAATCTAAAATAATAGACATCCACATAATATCCTAATATTCATAATAATTTTACTATTTTTCACAGTTTTCCTCCAAATATTCCACCGTATGTGTAGAAGTAAATAAAGCATGAATTCTTAAATTATGATTATGCCATGTACTCCCTCCAAACTACAATGTAGAATACTTCTCCCTTTGAAAATATAAAGTATTTTTAACCAAATTTTATCCCCTAATAAAATAATTACCTACTTTTAAACTAATCATATCTTTTTATATTTATCTCAATTAAACACCCTATAATAAATATAAAGTCATTCATCAATAGAGATACTTTTGGATAAAAAGAAAATGATTACACCTTAAAAGACTAAAAATGTCTTATAGTTTTTAATAGGGGCAATATCTTTTAAACAAAATTTTGATTCAAAATATAAAATATTGAATAATTTTTATAATTGTTTGCTAATTATACCCTTATTTCAAGTATTACTCTTTTTTTTTTTTGCAAAAACTGATGCATTGGGTTTTCAATTGCCATTATATATTAAGACATTTATATAAAAATCTTTAATAAAAGTATTAGTGGAAAGATGAAAAAAAAATAGATTAATGTCTCACCTAACTTTTTTTGGGATTTGAATCCAATAAGTGGCCTAAATCCACTCACTAATAAGTGTCTTATATGGCACATTAATAATCATTTGATTTAGTTAAATGACTGTAAGATATTTTATTGTATAATATTTAGAAAGTACGCCTTCTATATCAAATTATAAGATAACTTTGAGGGAGATTTGACATTTCAAAATATAAGACATTTTGATAAAAATAAAATTTCATGAATATGTTTTTTCAATATTAACCTCCCCATTTATTTTCTCTCTCTCTCTCTTTAATATTACTTTACAAATTGAGTATTAAATGAAGGCATTTTTAAAAATTTATATTTTTATCTTAAAAAAATAAGGATGTAAAGTGTCTTTAATTAGCTTTATTGATATATGTAATTTTATCTAAAAATATCTTATACTTTTAAAAAGTAGTATCAAATTTCAAATTTCAAATTTTTAGAGTGTACATCTTATGAGAGAGATGTTTTAATTGTGAGGATTATTTTGAATTTTTAAACGAAAATATATTTTGACAATTTTTTTTGAAACATTTTTTTGAGTGAGCGAACTTAGACTACTTATCAAATTCAAATCCTCTTAAAAGCTAGGAAATAATTACCAATACTCTATGCTTAAAATAATAATAGTAAAGGCAAGCTTATAATTAAAATTTTAAAGCAAAGAAGGGCTATTACTCTGACTATATATTGTGATTGTGTTTTTGGGATAGTGAAGTCTGGATAAATTAAGGAACTTTTTAAGAATAATCTTATATAAGAACGAGTATTCTTTTCTCCTTCTTGAATGACAACTAACCATAGAAGTATAAAAGTTGGACTATAAACTTCAATGCCGCAGTTTTTTAGCAACAAATGTTGAAGTATAATGAAACAACAACTTCCTTTTAATATGTATAAAGAGCATAAATTTAATTTGGATACTTAAGGTTTGGTCAGGTTAAGAATTTTAAAATAAAAATAATATTTTTTAATTCTTTTTAAACATTTGAAATTAATTGTGTATACTGCAGTATTGTTAAAGATACATAGGAGAGAGTGGTTTCATTATGTAAAAGGAGACTTCACTTGTATTAGGAATTTCATTCATTGTACAATAACAATAAACCGCATGCCACTAGTAGGAGTTAGCTACATGGATTATATAATGCTAGTGCCCTATGAGCAACTAAATCTTTGAAAATATTGTTAATCAAGAGATAACCAAAAAAATGGGTAAAATACATAGAACACTCCAAACTTTGAGTGAAGTGCATATAACACCCCTACAATTTTAAAGTTGATTAAAAATCTCCCTAATCTTTTATTTTTTACACATAAAGACTCATTTCTTTAACAGAACATTAATTAAATTGCTAATGGACTTTGGCCACATCAAATTTAGTTTAATGACATGTGTGACATGGTTTTTTTAATGCTCTAAATTAAATACTCCTTTAATTTTCTTCCTCTCTCCATCAACAGGATTTAAATGGTCTGTTAAAGGAGGGAAGCTTATAATTAAAATTTTAAAGCAAAGAAGGGAGACATACCTGCAAAGATATCAAAGAAACTATATGAAATGAATGAGAAATAGAAAAATTATAAAATGCTTTGATGTAGGAAATGATCAATTTTGCTATAAGGAAACATAAATATTGGTACTAGTTAGATGATTTTTTTTTAAAAAAAAGAATTAATGAAAAAAGAATTAACTTACAAACTTTGTAATTAATTAACTTTTTGGATTATAGTCAATAATATCATATGAAAAATGTTAGCATGTTGAAAAATAGCTACAAACAATCCCACCAAAAATTCAAATTTTTAGACATCGTACCGATTTGTCATTTTCTGCTAACATTGGAGCGAAATTCCAATTTTTTTTTTTTAAATTTAGACATTCCTCCTGCCAAAATATTTTAAATTTATTTTTGAAATTGCGGGTCATCATTTGTAGTGCTTTGTTGTCATGGTTCTCAAATAGTCTTGCATGTTATACTGCTTTGACTTTTTTGATAACAATTTCTAGATCACTATTATATCACTAACTATGATAAATAAAGTTAAAAAAACAAGCCAACTCTTAAAAGGCTCAAACCTAAAAAAATCAGCTCATTTAAGCTTGACTATATTTTATGACCCAAATATTTGAAGCTTGGCCCTATTCATAGTGGGCTCAAGGCTAGCTTTTTGAGCTTCAAGCTCCTTTACCTATTCTCTTTAAAATATTTTTATCAAATTGAAAATGTTTCATTACAAGGACATAAAAACTCTAACCAATGTCAAACTCAAACAACGATACAATAAGGTTTAATTTAAAAAATTCACACTATTAAAAAAATAAAAATTAGTAAGAAAATTTAATAAAAGATTGTATATTCCTCCTTAAAATGCCAAATTAATATGAAAATTAGTGAGAAATATTAATTTCATAGCTTGATTGAAAATTAGCGAGGAAAAATAGTGAAGGATGATCAATTCCTTTCTAAAAAAATAATTAGTAAAGAAAATAGTGAAACATATTAATTTTATAACTTAATTGAAAATTAATGAAGAAAATAGTGAGCAATGATCAATTCCTCATTAAAAAAAATAATTAATTAGAAAAATAATAAAAAATATTTATGCCTCTCTAAAAATGAGAGATTAGCAAGGGATTTATCGAGAAATTTTATATTCATATCTAAAATAATAAAATTAGTGAAGTATTTTTACGCCTCTCTAAAAATAATAATTAGCAAGAAAAATAACAAAACATTTTTATATTTCTCTAAAATAAGATACAATTAGCGAGAAAGTTAGCGACCAGTATTTATATTTCACTAACATTATATATTTAGGAAAGAAATTAACTAAAAATATTTATATATCTCTAAAAATATATAATTAGTGAGAAAAATAATAAAATTTTTATTTCTCTCTAAAATAAGATAATTATATTAGTAAGAAAATTAGCAAGGTAATTTTATACTTATCTAAATTGAAATAATTAGTAACATATTTTTATGCATTTTTTTCTCCTCTTTATAAAAAAAGTTTACATTTTCTTAATATTTTCAAAATTTTCTTAACATAAATTTTTTTTTTAAATTTTTTTTTGGTGTAATTCGAGTTAGACGTCAACGCTCTATATATTCATTCCCTCCGGAGAAATCCCTCCCAAAAGACTCTCACTGGTCAGTGAGCCTCGACGTTTTCCTCTCGCTGCTCACTCTTTACTCTCGCGTGGTCTCTTCGGTTCACGCCCGCTCCTTGGCATGATTCCTCCTTTGGCCATGGCATTCTCCTCCATTCCTCCTCCTGCGACGGCGTTCTCAACACAAAACCCCAAATCGGTATGCCCTCTTGTAACCTCTCTCACTCTTTCCCTTCTGTTTCCCTCCTCTCTCATCAAACCCTAGTCACATGTTCCTCTGACTCTCTCCCTCTATCCCTTGATTCTTCTTCTCTTAATATGCTTTTCTACTGTGTTACTTTTGCGTTTGAGGATTCGCTTTCTTTCTAACCTTGATTCATGTTCCTTCCCTTCTTTTCTCCCTTGGTTTCCCTTTATGATTGAGTAATTTATCAGTGAGAGTTGGACAGAGTCGAATGATTTGTGGCTTAACTGTACATAGCTAGGACTTGTACTAGATCTGAGCTATGAAATATTTATATAAAATGCATAGTTGGTTTGGTTTCTCTTCGGATCTCTATGTGATGCAAAAATAGTAGTTAATTACAACCTTGCAATTAATAATGAATTTGGATTGAGATTGTTATATATTAGGCAGGGCATAGTCATGTTATTGAGAAGTGGAATCTTATGGGAACCTGCTATTGCCATTTTTCTTGACTTGTAATGGACGGTTTTGCAATTGTGGTTTAGTATGCATGTATAATAGACAAATTATATTGCAGCCATCACAAATACTTACATCCATTGATAATCTGAAAGAGGAAGGAAATAAATTTTAATATCAAATCAGGCTTTTTGTCTTTGAAAATAAAATGTATGTGGTTTAGTGTGCCTGTTAATCAAATTTAATATCAGATCAGGCTTCTCTTTTATATAACCCACCTTAATTAGGTGAAATTATAAGGATGTTGTATTGCCTTTGAAAATTAGTGAATAAGAGACATCTGATATATAATGAAGTATATTGATCTACTTGATATTCATCAATATCAAGATATCAAAAGGCAATAGATATATTTGAAGATATTGCTCGACAGTCACTGAACAATAATTTACTAAAATATGGAGTTAGCAAACATCTTCTTAATGCTGCCCTTTGCCAGCTTGTCGAGCTGATATTGTTGCATTCACCAACTCCTAAGAGTGATATCAGGTCTTTTAAAGTGACTTCTTTTTAAATGAGTTGCTAATATTTTATAGTAACACATGCTTTAACACTTATTTAATTAATCATGCAGGACTTGGATCCAACTTTCTTCTGAGTTCGTGAGTATAAATTCTTAGCTGTAAGTGTTCAATTTGGCTAGTAATGTTGACTCCACCAGGAGAGGGGAAAACATCCAACCCTATTTAAATGATCTCTCCCTTGCATAGATTGAAGTTAACAATAAAAGTTGTTATGCATTAACTGCTATCTACATAGCTTGTTAACCTTTTGTAGGTGTTTCAATATTCATTGTTCTTTATTGTTTTGAAAAGTCACTACTGGGAAAATGTGAAATAGCATTATATTACTAAATTTGATTTCACTTATAGTGCATCAATTTGACTTATAGAATAGAAATTTGCTGAAGGTGAACTCTATAATTTGGATTGAGTGCATCGTTATATTATAAACTCTGTTAATCTTTTGATAAACTGGGAGTCTCTTCTTGTTGTTGTTGTTGTTTTTTTTTTTTTTGGTTTTGCTTCATTCTTTAAGTTTTTAATATGTTTTTTAACTTTGTAGATGAAAATGCATCATGATGAAGTAAATTCTGTCTTCAATAAAATGTTTTCCTCTTTTGCATTATATAACGGGAAAGACAATTCTGATTTTGTCACTTTAGATGCTATGGGATAAGGTTGTTTTTTAGGCTTCTCTATGGTTTGTTCCTAGCTCTTCTTAAGAGAGTTCATCTTCCCAAAAGTTAGAGATTGGGATGCTTTGTTGCATATTTGATTTTCGAGTTTTTTCTTACTTGAAGTGGTGCTTCTCTCATTCTAATACTTGCTTGCCTGGTGTTATGATTTGGATGTCAAGCCATTTTTCATGGTTAACTGAACTTACCTACATCCTCTATTCCTTTCTCTGTTCTACAGTGTAGAAGTTGATTCCTTCATGTTACTCATGTTCTGGTGGCTATTTCAATATTGGCAGAGTTTGTTATTAGTGCTTGTTTCAGACTATTGAGTTTAATTGAAAATTAATCAACATAGAGTAGATGACTCTCTAGTTTCCTAGTAAAAACCTAGATAACTCCATCAAAATCATAAGTTCTTTGGAGACTGTGTGTAAACTATATGCATGCACCTGAACTGTATATATTATATGAGAAGGAATTCCTTATTGATTCTCTATATAGTTTGTTACTAATGTATAATATTATTTCTCCATCCTCTCTTTGCTTCTGCACTTTCACTTCAACTCAAGCATGCATGAAGGATGGAATAAAGCAATTAGTAAACTGCTTATTGCCTTAACTAGCTACAATTAGTCCTCTTATTCTGTCATGGCATTAAGTGGTCACTTTCCATGCATAGTATGTTAATTTTTAGAATAACTAGAGGTGGGTGGAATCACTTAAATCCATAAATTTTTATTTTTGGAAGTTGTTTATCTATGTGGTTAATTTAATTTTTGACAATGACTTTAAACTACTTATTGCAGAGATCATATCATTGGGAGGAAAATGAAACAAAGATAATTAGGCATGCCTTTGAAGCTATTAGCTCTAGACAACTTAGGAAAGTATGAGTCAAGCATTAGATCAAATGATGTTAGACATGAGACTTCCTATTCAACAAGACATATTTGGGGCTATTTGAAATTTGGGTGAAAGGGTCTCAACTTCATAGTGAAATGTTAGTAGCTCAAATTGCTTGAGGCAACAAGATTCCATTGATGATTGTTTAAAATAACTTTTGTATGAGGCGCTTTGAACTTTTTATGCATGTACATTTTATATTTTGTTCAATTCTATGTATGAAATGGTTTGAACTTTATAATTATAATTGATGTAGTATTGAACTTTTGTTATATTAATGTTATTATAAATTGTGATTAGCAATTTGAATAGATGATTAGTTGTGGCTATACAGGAATCAAAATGTCAAAATTTGAGAATTGATGAGAGATTTGTTAAATTAAATTAATTATTTAATGAGGGATTAGTAGGGATATTTTTTTTAAAAAAAAAAATCAAAGCTTTAGCAAGGAATTTAGAATCCCTCGCTAAAATTTGTGGCGGACATATTTCTAGTAAATTTTGTCTAAAAGATTGGTTATTTTAGTGAGGGAATAGCAAGGACAATGTCCCTTGCTAATATTGTGAGGAACACATGTCCTCGCTAATTCCTAGCTGAAGTGGGTAACTTTTCGAAGCATTTAGCAAGGGATTGGGTTTGTCACTAAATTTAGCTAAGGACATCATCCATTGTTAAATTGAGCGAGTTTATTTTTTGTAACGAAATTAACGAGGGACAAAATGCCTCGCTAATTTTCATTTAACGAGAGACAAAGGCGATTTAATGAGGAATTCGTCCCTCATTAAGTTGATTTTTTGTAGTAGTGTCATAAATAGAAAGTCTCCAACAATAGCTCATGACAGGCTTTCCCATCTTTAGAATCCACAACAAAACTCTCTCAAAACCCCTTTTTCACCTTCTATTGAACCAGTGTGCTGTTAAGCTTGCCCTCCAACATTGTCATTCTTGTTGTTCACCATTCAACCTACCATTGTTGCACCATTCAAAGACGTGTTCCAAGCCACCATTTAAAGTCATGTTCCAAGATGTCGTTCAAGATCCATTTGAGATATCGCTGACCATTACTCGTTCAATTTCAGATTTGCCATTTGAAGTCTCATTATCATCATTCAAAATCTCCTGTCCAAATATACCATAATCGCTCCTTTTCTTCCTTCGAAAGTCTTGTTTTCATTTGTCAAACAAGCATTCTAGATTAGAGTCAATGATAGGGACAGCTCAAGAGAAGAGTGAGCAGAAGTAGAAGTGCAGACAACTTGCGATGACTTGCTAAAATAAGGATGACTTGTTAAGTTGCGATGTGATTGTAAGGCGACAAAGGCTAGCATAAGATAAGTAAAATGGAGATAGTGAAGTGTTGAATCATGAATCCGATTATTTGAATCAATTAGGGGATTTAGGATTGTATTTTTTTTTTTTCCTTCCCTCCTTAGGTCAATAGATATGGGTTCACATGTGAATCATAACATATCTAGTTTAATTTTTTCCAAGTTTAGGAGGGGTCAAGTCATGTGAATTGATTATATATATAATATGTGGGCTTAAATAAGTGATTTACCATTTTACGTTCATATTTGCAAGCCCATCCTTATAGGTTTAAATAAGCTAGCCTTTCTTGACTCTAATGGTAAGTATAGTAGCGGTGTTGAAAATCACTATAAACAATAGTAGCTTAAAAACTGCTATAAATTTTTTTTGTTTTTGTAGTAACAAAACATTTGATAAGAATACTTTCTATAACTCACAGGATTAGAATATATGTATAGTTAGATAGATATAGTTTTTTAGGTTAAAGCCCATTTTCCCCTAAACTATACCTTTAAGGACACCATTATCCTAAACTCCACTCTGATACATTCTTTCCCTTAAATGATAAAAAATGGGTCATTCTTTCCCCTACCCATTAACCCTAGTTAAGTTTGACCATTAAATTCAATTAGGTTGACTAGTCTTCTTATGTGGCATCCATGTGACATCTGGGTTTAAAAAAAAAAAAAAAAGTCTATTTCCCTCTTCTCCTTTTAGATTCCGTTGTGCCTCACACTTTCGCTGAATGATTATTCCTCCCTCATCTCCCTCACTCTCTAGTTTAATGTGATCCCTATTGTCGTTAAATAAAAGTAATCTAGCCTAAAAAATGAAATTGCAATCAATTATAGAATAAACAAACAAAAAATATTATTTATTTCATTGAAAAAACATTTTCGACATGTTTGAGGAGGTTGGTGGGGGAGTTGTGGCAGTTGTGGGCTCTAGTTGGCCTTTAATATGAACTATTCATTTAAGGTCTGCGGTTGTCATGAACTCGATTGTGGGTAAAAATGCCCTCAAATATTTAAAAATGCATTTATTTCTACATACATTTAATGTGCTTGTTAATTGATTTTTTTTATACCAAATATGTACATGTGACACTTCACGTGGCATCAAATGGTGTCCATTCAAAAATTAATATAGTCACTTTTATCTTTGAAGTATTTACTTAGGGATACTTGATGCTGTGAACTCGATTTTGGATCATTTTTTTCCTTATATGTTAAAAAACCTAACATTTAAGGAGCCCTAGTATCTTGAACTTGATTTTGGTTCATTTTTCCTCTTAAATGTTAAAAAACCTAACCAAATATAATGCTACAAGCAAATGTTAATTTAAGTTAATGGGTCCTACCATTGTGTACATGTGGCATCCAAATATATGTCCAGTCAGAAATTAAAAAATTTGTCTCTTAAAGCTGTTAAAAATTAATTGTAAAAAATTCTTCCATGTGTATAGTTGACAACCTAACTCAAATTATTTTTAAGAAAAATTACGCTCCCTCTCTCAATCTCGGCATCTTGCCTTCTTTGCATTGTGTCAATCCTAAAACATACCTTAGATGTAGATAAGCACTTGCTCTCTCTTGAAACAATCATAAGCCTTAGTTATTAAGATTGAGGGCAACTTGTCAAGTGTACACATGGATGAATTTTTCACAAAATTTGAGTCAAGCTGCCAAGTGTACACATGGAAGATTTTTTTTTAAAAAAAAATGAGTCAAGATGCCAACTGTGCACATAGAGGAATTTTTTAATTTATTTTCTGATTGTGACTACATAGAGGATTGTTTTATAAATTTCTGATTTGCTATCCACTTAGATACTACATGTACACACTCATGGAATCCACTAACTTAAATTAACTTTTTTGAGCTAGTTGTATTACTTTTGATCACCAGTTGATTAATTAAGGTAGAAAAGTTCTTTCTGTATTATGGTTCCTTCTTGACACTTCTACCGATTCTCAATCCTTCCATATCCTTCCCTTTTCTTTTGGCTTGATGAAGTTAATTGGTCTCCTCCGACTAGCGATCATATGCTTGTTGATAGAAAGAAGATCACTTGACTCTATGGATATCTTCAACACACAATGGTGGATCTAACTATCATGGGACTTGTCCATGGCTTCCCCTTGGAAAACCCTAGAGGAGAGCCCATTAGCCCCTTGCTAATTAAACGTCATGAGAGGTGAGAATGTCTCTTCATCTCTTCATGGTATTTTGGACTTGGTTCAACTAGGAAGCAATTGTACAAACCAAATATATTTGTGAGAGAGAAGCAAAATCCTTCTATACTCCTTCTATACTTCCAACTAAAATTTCAGCAAGTCAATTTCATGACCATCATTAAGCACACATTAAGGCAGATTGACATTTCTTCATAGAATAAGTGAAGAAGGAATTATTTGTATCACAACGTATTCCTAACAATGCAAAGACCAAATAGCTACTATACTTTACCGAGAGGCTTAGCGTGTGCGTCCTAATTGACCTTCAATGAACCCAATTTTGATATATGCTTGTTTTGGTGATTCAAAAATGATTTTTTTTAAAAAAATACAATATCAATCCACAAAACGCAACTTTTGCAAATGAAAACAAGAGTTGCTTTCAAGAAATTGGACTTGTTAATTATAACAAGTCTATTTTCCATCCATATGGAAGTATATAGAACTATACTTTGACGCAACCCATGAAATTGTAGACTATAAGGAACAATGTTATTGAAGGGCCCAATAACAATAAAAAGAATTAAAAGTTTAAGTATCTATTAGAAGTCTATATCCAACATATTTGGAAGGCCCAAAAAAAGTCATGAATTGCACATGGATGAAGTAAAGAGGCCTAATTCTCACCTACTCAACATCAAATGGGTACATGAAGAGCCCAACTAGAAAGGAAGACATGAATAGCAACTAGGAATGCAATTTTGGACTAATTTAGGGAACAAGAAAATGCATCTATAACTCCTCTTCTGGCAATTTGCGCATCAGATTCAAGGCCCTTGTATGCATACATGATGGGGTTGTTTACTGCTATGATATTTAAATACATGAATGAATTACTGGTTTGTTCCATATAAAACGACTATGCGATGCTCACATGCAGCCAACGGCTAGTTGAGTAAAAGAGAATAATGGTGTTTCTGTTATAAGGAAATTAAACAAAAAAGTGTTACAATAATGGTACTCCTGGTACATATCACATGTCAAAGACACTTCAATGATCATCAGCAAAAAGACTCTTCACTACTGTATTTTGGACTTGATCTTAGGACAAGAAGCAACCGCACTGCACAAACCAAATATATCCATGTCAGGGGCCAAAAAACAATTGATGAAATGCTCCCAGCCTAAATCACAACAAATTCATAACAAGGCCGTCACAAAGTCCCTCAATTAGTGTGGATGGAAAATATTTGCTCAAAACTTGAGTTCACTTTACTGAGTGATTAAATTCCTACCTCTAACCTCTAACTCAATTACTGGGTGAAAGCTTCACATTAATAATTCCGGGAACAAACTAAAACATTAGGGAAACATTATTATTCTTAATAGGTAGATGCCAAAAGATCTGCCCAAGCCACACAAATTGAGTAACAAACAAGCATTCAAGGAAGTTGATAACAATGCATTACTGGACTGGGAAGAGAGAAAAAAAGAAAAGGAGAGGCATTAAACAGTCTATTAAGGTAAGGATAAGGAGCAAAAAAAAAAGATATATTTTGAAACTTTCTTCATGGTAATAAAAGCTGAGGAAAAAAATAAAAGGGATAATAAAATTTTTAATCTGTCAAATTTGTCTCTGTTATTTAGTTTTTTAAGTTTAATTTTGATTTATTTATTCTTTTATATTTTCTTAAATTATCATTTTATTGGTTTCTTATGTTTTAAAACACAAATTTATTATGTCAAAACATTAATCAAGTCCAAGAACAAGGCTCAACCCAACAGACTTAAGTCCAAGATAATAACACATGGACCAAAGGGCTGAGCCCACTAGAACTAAGAATCCATCTGATTGTATTCAATTGTCATTGTTCATTATCATTGTACACGTGGCCTCTGTTTAAGCTCTGAAAAACTTCTCTATGTAAGGAATAATAAACCTTGGGTTCTGTGAATACTATATTACACTTTACTTCTTGGTGTTTTCTTATCTCAAATTAATGTAATATATAAAGTATTTTAATAACTTGATATGCATATGTAACTAAATAAAAATAAGTTAAATTTTAAATTAGTTTAATTTTTATTAATCTAGTCCCTTAAACAACATTTAGTTCATTTATTTTTTAAAATTTCTGAGTCTTTTTTACCTATCTAAATAATTACATTTTTTTAATTTTGTTATTCATGTTAGGAGAGTTTTACATTGTTACCTCCTATTTACACAATAAAGACCAATAAATTTAATTTTGTTATTCATGTTAGAAAAATTTGGTGATTCAGAAAATATTATCCTCACAAATAAAATGTAAATACAAGATCAATCAATAAATAGAAAAATAAAACAAAGTAGATAGCAAAAGTACACTCTCATAAAAAAATTTACATCTATCTCCAACATATATATATATATATATATATCTTTGTGCGTGTATGTTGTTTTGTATATATTGTCGGTATAATTTACAATAGTTATTATCCATGTTAGAGTACTATGCTGTATAAAAACTATGTAGAGAAATAATAAATAACACACACACACATATTAAAGAATTGTTCAAAAAAAAAAAGGACTCTGAGTAAAAGGGCATACTTATTTTTTCAATAAGATGTAAATATTGAAATAATAAATACAATATTGTAAAAAATTTACCACTTTCATTTAGTATATCTAAGCACAGAAGAAATATCTAATTAATTTTTTTATATCAAGAGTGATTTTAAGATAGTAGTGAAGGTGAGCTTATAAATAAAAAGCAAAGAAGGGAGAGATACTTGTAAAGATATATGAAAGAAACTGTACGTGTGGGTGGTGATGCTTTTGTTTGCTTGTGTATAAATTTTAGTTGCAAGGGGTGACAGGTGAAGTCGTCATGAGATTTGTTGGAGGGAGTCGCTCTTCATCCGAGTCTGACTGTGAGTTATATGTCACGTGCACTCCACATGCTTTCATTGGAACTGTCTCTACCTCTCCATGATCAAAATCAACGTAATAGTCCGCAGAGAATTCACATGAAATCTTGGCAACATCACCTGCTCCAGCACCAAACGAATCCCTTTCCAATTCCATGTGCCATATGCAAACACAATCCGAATTCATTTTAAGGAGGGAGGAAGCAAAAAATGAACTGCGGAATTTGTTGTCATCATCATAAGAGAAATCACAGTAGATCGTCAACATTTTAGGTGAGCAAAGATGAGAAGGAACAATGCAGCAACACAATATGATGGGTGATCGTTTGAGATTGCAGATGACTTCCATAGCATTGGAAGCCTCTATCTGATGTTTATATTCCATCCATTTTGGAACTCTGCTTTCGGGGTAACAAGCCCAAACAAAACGAAGCTTCTTATCCTCACAGGCTGAAGTCAAAGAGAAATGAGTTAGTTTCTCAATGAAGCGAAGAGAACACTCATCCAACTTTATACAATCATCGAAATGAAATTGACACTGATTTTGAACTAGAGAATCAGAGAATACAATCTCTAATGAAGTGCATCCTCCAGCATATAATACTTTAAGGAAGGGAGGAAGTCCAAGTATAGACTTAAGCCTCTCGCAGTCTTTCAAGATCATGATTTTCAAGCTTGTTAAGGCCTTGATATTGTCAGGGATTTCCAGCAAGTAACTGCATCTTTCCAAACTTAGGTCTTTTAAATTACGCCAAGCATCAAAAAGAGAGCGCAGCTCTGTTGTGTGGATCACCTGTTGGAAATTCAAAATTCTAAATTTCTCAAGATTTGTCAAGCCACATAGCTCACTTATCGGAAGACTCCTTAATCTTTCACCCTTATAAATCACAAGGATTTTGAGCTCCGTGAAACCTCCCATTGGCAGCAAATGCAATATTTCAACTTCAGTCTCACTGAAATACAAACTCCCCAATTTCTTTGATGACAAACTGAATTTCCGGAGGCTCTTACAAAAGCCAAAATCAAGGTAAGAGAGAGATTCTAAATGAGTCTCACTTTCAAGACTTTCTAATTCCCGACAAAAACAAACATTCAATCTAACAAGAGATTGGAGAGATAAAATAGATGGATGAATACTATGTAGACTTTCACACATCCAGAGATTGACTTCTTCAAGATTATATGCCATAGAGAAATTAGGCAGCTCAACCAATTGTTTACACCTAAACAAATTTAATGTCTTTAGATTCACAAGATCCTGTGACAATGGAAATGGAAAAGTTTTTCACATAAAAGCCTAATAATTTAATTAAATTGAAGAGAGAGAGAGAGATACACATATTAATTAGTGTGTGTGTATAAATACCTGCACTCCATCCCAAAGCTCTTTAATATTGCTGTCTGTCATATGAAGTACAACAAGGTTCTTACCATTAAAGCCCAACGGCAAAGACTTCAGTGGTTATTGTTCCCAATAAAAATACCTTAATTTCTTTGGAAAAGAGCCCAGACCAAAAGGAAGCTCTATATGATGATATGTCTTGTGCTCAATCATCCGTGGTTTAGGGTGAAAAATTTTGAGAAATCTTAAATTTTTCATCTTTGCAAAGGTGTCTGGGTCCAATTGTAAATGTTTGATTTGATCCAAATCCAATATGATGCCTTCAATTTTATTAGTTCCCTGAACAAAAAACAAAATAAATATAATATTAGTTTTATAAAAATTGTTCTAGAAAAATAAAAAAAATGATATAAATTTCACTTACCATGTTACTTTCTAATACATTATAAATTTCATCTGTATCTTTTAATCGGCTACGTAATGCAGGATCTTTAATACATTCCGCACGAACTATTTGCTTAGCCATTTCTCGTATCAAATCATGCATTTCAGTACTTTTACCATTCAGCCAACCTGGTTTTATGAGAGATTTATCCATGAGATTTTGTATTCCACTAACTGCTTTAAAACCACAAGCTTCTAGCACATGAATAACTCTATCTTTTTCTTCTCCAATGAAAAAAAATGCAATGTCTAAAAATATTTCCTTATCCATGTCATCTAATCCATCATAACTAACTTTCAATATATTTTGAATTTCTGGATGGGGACACTTTCTAAGTTTCTCAAGCTCACTCTCCCAGTATGCCTTATCTCTAGAATGAAAATGGGAACCCAAAACTTCTAAAGCTAGAGGAATGCCTTTAGCATAGGCAACTGTCATTTCTGATAGCCTTTCATATCCCACATTAGGGTGAGTTTGCTTGAAGGCATGTAAACTAAAAAGTTTTAGTGATTCTTCAAAATTCAACTCCTTGACTTCATGTATATATTCATCATGAATCCCTCCAATCCTAAAAACATGCTTGTCTCTACTTGTTACAATTACTCTGCTGCCACGCCCCAAGCAAAGTTGTTGTCCAGCTAGATCTTTTAATTGCTTTGAATTGGATACATCATCAAGCACAATCAAGACTCTTTTTCGTGATAGCCTTCTCCTTGCATAATTCATATCTATGGGGAGACCTGCATCTTGGTCTAATAGCTTAGAAAGAAGCTTTTGACGCAAATGACTCAAACCATTGCTCTTCGTTGATTCCTCTCTCACATTTTCTATGAAGCAATAGCTTTCAAATTGAGAAGAGAATTTGTCAAATGTAGCTCGAGCCAGGGTTGTTTTGCCTATCCCACCAACACCCCAAATACCAAGAAGTAGAACTTCCTGTGACGTAATTTTCATTAATGATTCAACAATGGCGAGATTTTGATCCAATCCAACTAGATGGGATTGTGGCGCAACCGGGTTGTTATCTTCCAATTTTTTTAGGACATCTTGGAGTATTGCATCAATGAGCTGTGATTCGTTTCTAGCATATTAAAAATAAAAGAAAATAAAATTATTACGAGCTACTCATTATATAAGAATAATAAATGCATAGACATAATTTGGTATTACCATATTCTAAATCATTTTGGGGGTAACTAAGAAAGGGCTTTAGAAACTCTATAAAATGATGTATTGAATAACTAAAACTTACTGAAAATTTGATGAATGATAACCAGATAAGTCTGCGGTTTTCTTCAAGACAGATCTCCAATTTTTCAACTCGTTTGAGTTATCCTTGAACTTCAGTTCAAGATGTGCAAATGCATCTGCATAAGTTCGTTTTTGACGCCTGACATCTGAAGGATCTACACAATAGAAAACTGGTAACACAATTTGTCCGCTTGCTTCCTTACATTCCATGATTTTGACAAGCTCTTGCAAGCACCACTTTGAAGAAGCATAATCTTTGGAGAATATGACCAACGCAATCATTGATCCTTCTATGGCTTCGTCAAGTGCAGACGATATTTGATCTCCTCTCTCCAGCCTGTCATCCACATAGACGTCTACCTGCTTTCGACGCAGCTCCTTTGTTAAATGGCTGAGGAAACCAGATCTGATGTCTGAACCTCGAAAGCTGATGAAAACATCATATTTCACTCGGGAAGAAGAAGCAGAAGCAAACACAGCCATTGCTGAGGCACCAAAAACAAAAAAACAAAGTTTTATAGGTTGTTGATTTTAAAAAGACACAGAAAGAAAAGCGTTCAAGTTGTTAGGGAAGGAGGGAGAAAGATCAGAAGAATACCTTGGTGGGAGTAACTAAATCAAATCAAAGGTTGAAGTCTTGAAGTTGATTGGGCGAATTTGCTTATCCTGCGAATTAGATCGACACAACAGAAAAATGAGTCTGAGTATATTGAGCCTTTGTTCAAATTGAAGTTAACAAGGAAATTTCCAGGAAGTAGACAAATGAGTCAATGAGCCTTGACTGGTGAGGCATTGTTTTTATTGAAAGATAAAACTGTCGGTGGAAATTTCTTGTTTAAAATAAGAAGAAATTTCCAAGAAATAATGAAAAACTTTGGTCCCCAGCTCTTTTTGACTACAAGTCAACAGCCCTTTCTCTTTTGAGTTTTTCTTGTTTAAAGTAATTAAAAACTTTTAGAAAGTCTTGAAAATAAATTAATTAAAGAAGAAAGTGAGTAGCAATTTCAAAGAAATATGAAATTTATCTTTTCCTGATTCTTTTGACTCTGTCAAAATGTGTTTTTTTGTTTTTTTTTTTTTTGGGTCCGTTTTCTGGTTTTCAGACACGGTTTATTGTACTATGAAGTAGGATTTTCCATGAAGATGTAACAAAAATGGGTCTGTACAAAGATTGTTTATTTGTTTCCCACGTCCAAATAAGAAAAAAATATTTCTTTTTTGTTTGATTTTAAGGGGCTTTACCGCAAAACTTCTTAATTATTGTTCCCTCCCATTATAATATATGTCATCAGCTAAAAATATTATTTTATCTAAAATATAAGATATTAAATATGTTTTATAATTATTTTTTAACTATATCCTTACTAATTCATTTATTATTTTATAAAAAAAATGATATATTAGAATTTAAATTGCCATTATCAAAACACTTATATAGAGTGTTTAATAAGGATATGATTAAAAATGTAATTTTTTTTAAGGTTTTACCTAAATTTTTTTGAGAACCTTGAAGTAATTACTGATTAATATCTTATATTGTGATTAAGAGAAAGTATGTGATAGTAATTAACCAATTAAACTATTGAGAATATATGACAATTGAATAAGTGAGGCTCTAACTTCTTAAAAAACCAAGGTCTTATCATGAAATTACAAAATTAATCCCAGAAGAGTAAGAGTAAAGTTGTACTAGTACATATGATTTAGTACATTTCTTATGCTGTTACACACACACACACACACACACACACACACACAATTTAGAAGACTTAATTTGTTGTTTTTTTAAAAAAATTAATCATTTAATTTTTGTAATTTTAACTTAGTTGTAACTCAATCTCTAAACTTTGATTCGTTATAACTCAGTCTTTATAGTTTTAACTCGGTTGTAACTCAGTTTTTAAACTTTGCCTCTTGCAATTTAGTTCCTATAGTTTCAACCACTTAAATATCGATCCCTATATTTAAAAAAAATAGAATTATAAAGATTAAAAATATTTTGAATCTTTATTATTTATAATATTTAAAAATTAAAAGATAAAAATTATAATATTTTGAAATTTTAATATTATAATATTAGTAAAAAAATTATAAGATTATAATTATGTTAAAATTTTTGCTCTACTATTTTTTAAATTATTAAACCTTTTAATATTTATAAATATTATAATATTAAAGGCTTAAAATATTTTTAATCTTTACACTTTTATTTTTAAAATATAAGAATCAATATTTAAGTGGTTAAAACTATAGGGACTAATTGTAAAAGGAAAATTCAAGAATTGAGTTACAACCGAGTTAAAACTATAGGAATTGTGTTACAATGAGTCAAAGTTTAGGAATTGGGTTATAATTGAACCAAAATTACATAGACTAAATATTAATTTTTTCTATTTTTTAGAAGGTATTTATGTGTATTTTATGGATTTTTTTCATTTTTGAAGTTATTTTTAAGTCAACTAATAATCAAAATTAACTCTTTTAATGACCTTGTGTTTAATGTATTATTTCCAAATTTTGAAAGAGGAATTATACCATATGAAAGTTTAAAATATTAGATACTCCTAAATGAATAGCAGAGGGGTAAAAATAATCATTAACTTTAATAATAATCATAATAAATTTATATTTAAGAATCCAAACTATAATAAATAAATATGGGTACTATTGAAACATAAAATTAAAACTAATCTAACTTCAATTATATTAAGAAAATGAGCTTTTCAAAATTTTCTTTCATTAAGAACGTAAGAGAATAATCAAGGACTGTTTAGCTTTTATTCTCACTTTGTTTTTAAAAATTATTTGTAAACCAATTTTTGAAAGTTGTTTTCAAAACAAAAAAAATAGAAGTATATTTAAGTAGCTTAATTTAAAAATAATCTAAAAATAAAATTTTCCTAATAATGACAATAATTAGTGGCTAATGAGTAATGATGGTAGTTTATGATAGTGATTGGTGAAATGATTATAATTTTAAATAATCAAATTAAAATGTATCTTGTAAAACATGAAAAATAAAATAAAAAATAACCTTAAAATGTTTCTATTTTTTTTAAAGCAAAAAATGAAAGTAATTTAGGAAACAATTAAATTTGTAACACTTATTTAAATGAGTTTTAAAATTTTTTATTTTCAAAAATAGAAAACAAATTTTAAAAACAGAACACTTTTTCACTTTTCTTATTGTATTCAAATGAGTACAAGCCTTTTCTCTTTTGTGTTTCTAGTTTTGTTTAAATTGAGCAAAACTTTCTTGTACCAACTGAAAATAAAAAAGGAAGGTACGCAGAAATTTCCACAAAATATGAAAAAATAATCTTCATGAATCATAAGCCCTTTTTGACCCGGTTGAAAAACTTTTCTCTTTTTTGGGAGAAAATGTTATCCCAGAATCCGCGGAGAGATTTTATATAAGACAAGGACCTTTTTTTTTTTTGGCCAAAAGCAAAAGAGAAGGGCCTGAAAAAAATTTACTGCAATCCCCAGTGCCTGCATGAAAATAAATTTTTATGAGAGAGATCTAAACACTCTTTAAAATCTCTTAAAATTATATAGATGTGTGCATAAATATGGTTCATTTGAGTTTTGATAAATAATCATACATAATTAATAATAATTTATTTAAAAATGAATAAGTTACAAAATTTAATAATATAAGTTAATTGTACAAGTATTAGTTATTCATAAACAAACATCTATTTAAGTTTAACAAGTAATCTTACATATAATTAACCATAACTCATTTAAAATTAACAATTATTATAATTCCTAGTACATATTTAATTGTTCATGTGTTGGTCATACATAACAAACTTCTCTTTGAGTTTTAACAAATATTCATTTAAACATATGACCATAACTGATGCACATATTTAATTTATTTAAGTGTTAGTAATGTATAAATAAGTTCCATAATATTGAGCCTTTGTTCAAATTACTTAACAGGGAAATTCCAGGAAGTAGAAAAGTGTGCTAATGATCCTTGTCTAGTGAGTCCATTCTTATTGCGCGTTAAAACTGTTGGTGGGAATTTCTTGTTTAAAATAAGAAGAAATTTCCATGAATTTTGAAAAACTTTCGTCCCCAACTGCAAGTCAACATCACCTTCTTTTTTGTTTTTCTTGTTGTTAAAGTAATTAAAATACTTAACTTTATGTCCCAAATAAAAAAAACTCTTCATTTTTATTTTTATTTCAAACTAATTAAAAATTTTCTTTTAGCAATGAAGAGAGGAAGTTCAAAAATGATAATAAAAGCCCATCAAAATATATAAATAATAATTCAATCTCTTAAAATATTATAATTTTTGTAAAATTTTATATACCTTTTTGATATTAGTAATTTTAGATTAAATAATTAAATATTATCTGTTTTAAAAAAAAATAACAGGTTGTATTTTTATTTTCTCAATCACAACAATTCAGTGAATCGTAAAAATTGAATAACTTGCTCACAAAAAATTTTTTATAATTAATAAATAAGTTCTAAAAATAATTAATTTTTAATTATAAATTTTATTTTTTTACCAATAAAAATTAAACTTTTATTTGAACAATCACAACTTTTATTTTAAATTATAAAATTTAAATAAAAATTATAATTTTAAGTAAAATTTTTTTATTATTAAAGTTTAAATTCTAAAAATAATCAATTAAACTTTTATTTTGTGTTTATCGTAAGAATTCAACAAAAAATTGCAACTTTCCATGTGATTTTTTTTATCATTGAAATTTATATTTTAAAAATAATTAATTATAGTTTTGTTTAAATGATCATAATTTTTACTTTGTGAATTACAAAAATTAAACAAAAAATTATAATTTTTTCGTGTACCTATTATTTTTTTCTATATTAAACAAGGGATAATAGTATTTAATCTAAAATTATTAATATAAAAAAGATATCTCAAATTTTAAAAAAATTATGGTATTTTAAAAAATTAATTATATTTTGAACAGAAAAAATTTAATTATTATTTATATATTTTTAAAAGATTTATTGACATCTTTTCACAAAAGGGCGTAAAAATTTTAACGAAATAATAAAAATTTATCTTTTGCTAAGTCTTTTTGACTCAGTCAAATGAACTTTTTCTGCATTTTTTTTTTCCAATTTGCCACTTTTTTGCTTTTCAGACGCGGGTTCATTGTACGATGAAGTTAAGATTTTCCACGAAGATCCAAAAATATTTCTTTTTTGATTGATTTTAAGGGGCTTTATTTGGCCCCAAAACTTCTTAATCATTTCTCCCTCAATCATAGTACTGCACGTCTTCTAAAAAATTTATTTGGCAAAACATATGGAATATTATATATTTTATAATTATTTTTTAACTATATCCTTACTAATTTATTTATTATTTTTTAAAATAATACATTGAAATTTCAATTTTTTATTAAAGAACTTATGTAAAATATTTAAGAAGAATAAATTACAAATATTAAATTATTTTTAAGATACCAAGGCTTTATTAAACTTTTTAAGAATCATGAAGTGATTACTTATTAATATCCCATATTGTGGTAAGAGAAATATGTAATATGTAATTAACCATTGAGAATATTATTAACTATGACAATTAAATAAGTAAGGCTTTAGCTTTATTAGAAAACCAAGTTCTTATCCTGCAGTTACAAAATAATTACGTACAAGTAAAGTTACACTTGTACCTATGATTTAGTACATTCTTATCATGTTTTTTTTATATAAATTTAGAATACCTAATTTATATTAATTATAGGATATT